AGAGAGAGAGAGAGGTAGAAAAATGTATTAGCAATACAGTAAGCAAGTACAGTATCCTATGTGTTTGATTACGGAAACAAATGTTTCAAAGGTATTCCAATGCATTAAAATATCATATTATAGCCATTTGCACTCAGATCAGTAACTCTAAGCATTTAAATAGGACAATTTCAAGCTTGATCAATCAATGCACATGCATCCATTGATTTCTAACTACAGGAATCACATGTTAACCATGACTCATCAACCTTCTCTAAACTACCAAACGCTAAGAGGTGTTTATCAAATTATTTTGTGCATAATATGTGCCCAAGTCAAAAGGCCAGAGTTAGATTCAATAAACAGAAACATTACACGCCAAACTTTACAGTTTTCATACACAAAGCATCCAGAATTCATAAATGCTTACAGTGCACCTAGACTTAGAAATTAATGACATTTTGGTTTCTTTAGGGACTAATCAGTAACCGTGTAGTGCAATAGTCAATTTGTGAGCTAATGAAATTTCTTGACATATCATCTGTAAGCTAATATAAAATATTGATAAGTGGCAATTAATATTGGCAAATAATGGCCTGCAAGAACAATGAACTCTAGCAAATGTCTTCATAAAGAAGAAAGAGTTTGCCTGTTCAAATACGACAGAAAAATTGCAAAATAAACAATGATGCAATACAATTGTGAAATCAAGCAACAAAAGAATAAACAATGAATTTCTGAGATATCATAAGTATTAAAGTTCCTTCCACATATTTAATGGCTAGGTACTGAGGCTTCTCCTAATCAGACATAATCAGACATTAAATACAAAAGAAAGACAAAAATATTGGGAGTGTGAATAGCCTTTCACACCACATCAATGGCATGTTTAAAAAGACACTTTCTTCTTTAGAAGCCAAGATATGATGCTGTGGCCAGAAATGATATATATTCCTTTTTGGTCTAGAAATAAGTGCCAAGAGAATTTAGGATACTCATCAGTCCTTTATTTAATAGTTTTAACCAAATTTGAGGCTAAGGGTATTTAATAGGTTACTGATTTTCTGGAACGGACTGTAGGTCCATTAAGTTAGATTCAAGTCTAACGTGGAATTTTAAGCGTTTATTACTCACAGGTACTATTCCATATCAAGGTAAAGCACATAGACTTGGTGATTTAGTATACACCGACTCTATTAATGGACCACAATCCTGCTAAGCTGTAAACAAGAGGTTTTTAATTTCTCTAAAATTCTTTTAAGAAAAAGGAGCCTATATCTAAATACAAGAAAGCATTCTATATCATCTCCCCTTCTCATTATTTGACCAAAATGAGAAGGTAATAGACTATCTATGGCAATGATATGCAAATCAGATTATATTGACAATATATGTAAGATAATATGGCTGTAAAAATTTGATATGTTATGGACCATTACTATTGTATTTATGGAATTAGAGCTTTAGTATATTCTTAGACTATCTATTAAAAATTTTAGCGCTACGACGGTGAGTACTAACGCTTAACAAGTATCTACTTTCATAATAAAATATATCTTGCATTATCAGGCTACTGTCTCTTATAGTTTTGGCGATTAAAAGAGCACCGCTGTGCTCAATTAACAATTTACAAGAACTATATATATCACAAAAGCTTTCTTCCTACTAAAAGCTCCCTGCATTTCCAAGCCTCTAAGAGATTCCAGGGAACTTTCAAATAGCTGCCTCTTTGAACAAACCAAAATGAAACTGAATCAACATGACATCAACATACTGTCCACACAGCGCAACATAAAATTAGCTGCAAATTATAAATTGTAATACAAAATTATATGAGTGACAGGAAAGATACATCATTTCACATTGTAACTAACCTATTAATTTACCATAGTGCTTCTTTATTAACAAGAACTAAATGAGGAAAGTGTATGCCAATATTATATTTTCAACATGTTAGTTAAAACCCTTACAAACAGCAAATGCAAACATAAACCAAGGATTCAAGTCAAGATTTATATATTACTGATCAGCATTGATACCAATGTCCCTACATTTTCCTATTTACAAGTCTAATACTGTCAAAGTTCTATAAGTCTTACACGAGCTCCACATTTCAAAATACAAATTACTGTTTTCTTGTAAGTTTCATGTCGCTCTTCAAAATCAATTTCAAAATCTTTTTGTAAGTTCATCCTGCAACCCAAAATATTTAAGACAAGCTATTCACACTCTCAATAATCAATTCAAGCAAACCAGCCCCACCGTTGGCTGGACTTATTCATTACAACCTCTAGTCATAATCAACTCTTTTAAGAGCAACCCTAAACCAAAAAACAAACAAAAAACTTAAAAACAACCAAACTGCAAAACCAAAAACATTCATTACACATCGTCATCACCTTAGTTCAGTCATCCTCCATCATTGTCGTTACCCCCGACCCTAAACCAACAAACACAAAAACTATAAAAACAACCAAACATGCAAGTAAGAAAAACGAAGAACAAATAGAAAAAACCAAAAACTTAGAATGCACTAAAATACGAAAAAAACCGAAGAACAAACAAAAACCAAGAAGAAACTTTACCCTCAGTTTTCGTTGTTCAGTCGTCGTCGATGATTTTATGTTAACAACGCCGGCCTTAGTTCAGTCGTCCTCCACGTCGTCGTTACCCCACAATTCTCTCGTTCAGTTTTCGTTGTTCAGTCTCGTCGTCGTCGTTGTTCAGTTTTCGTTTTCGTTGTCGTCGTCGTTGCCTCAGTTCATTTTCGTTGTTCAGTCGTCGTCGTCGATGATGGTCCCCAAACAATGGCGCTGCTTCTTTCACACCTTCCTTCAGAGAGTTAGAGAAATGAGAAAGAGAGTTATAGAGAAATCAGAAGTAAACGAGAGGCAAGCCAACATTTTTTCTTTTTTTTTTTTTTTTTTTTTTCTTAAAGGCAACTTAATGGGACACTTGTTAATTCTAAAGGAATCTTTCGAAAGAAGTTTCGTTCCAGATTTCGAGGAGATATTTTGAAAGTTAAAATTTTGGGACTTTAAAATTACTGTATTACCCTTTAAAAACGGACATCACTAAGGTACAAAATGGAAAGTACTTATTTGTCCATTCTAAACCTTTGGATACTCATTTATCGTACGGAAAACCTTGGATACCTGTAAGTCATCTGGCCCAAAATAAAAAATCTTTGGATCCCATTTATCGTATACGGAAAACCTTGGATACTTGTAAGTCGTCTGGCCCAAAATATAAAGAGTAGTGTTATTAAGTTCATTAAAACTCTTTCTAAACCTATTTTAAATAAAATTTAATAGTGAAAAATTATTTAAAAATACTCTATCTTCTTCATTTTTTTTTATAGTGGCATACGTATACAACTATTTTATACAACCCTAATGAGTAACTCGCGTTAGTCAGCTAGGTCCGTTTGCCAAATATAAATTGAAAATCGCGATCTCTACTTAGATTGTATAGTTGAATATATTTTATTGTTTATTCATCTAATCTTCAATTGATTCTAAATTCTGAAGATATAAACAAAGCATTGCTTAGATCAAAATAAAAGATCGTTATTGGATGGGAAATAATGCATATCGTTAATGAATAATAAGATATGAATTGATATTTATTTGATTGCTTTTTTAAGGATTTGGAAATTTGAGCAATATAAAACTCAAAAGAGACAAATAAAAAAAAAAAAAAAGGATAACCATATTATCTTAGATTTTTAGTAATTAATGATTTTAATTGATTCTGGTAAAGTTTATTTTACTTGTATCCATTTTATTTGGACTCCATAAATTTGATGCGAGTATGGTAAGAATTAATAAGAGAAGAAAAAGATAAGCAATTTGTAATATGAATATTGTATCATTTTATTATTAGGCTTGGAAAGAAGTTTAATGGAGCTCCTCAAATAACAACACTCAATAAAATAATTTCTATAATATATGACTTAAAATAAATAGATTATAGTAATAATAGGAAATTAATCTAATAAGAATACTCAAGTGCTTAAAACTTATAATCAAAATCCAAAATAATAAATGTAAAAGTGTTGTTATTTAGCGACACTTAAAACTCTTTATGAGTTTCTATAGATCGAACTATTAAAATAAATCATATTAATAATAAGATTACAAAAAAAAAAAAAAAAAAAAAAGACATCAACAATTTAAAGTGATACAATTCTAAACACATCTAAATCATTAGATTTGAATCAATTATCAATCACTATATCATCATATAATTCAAATGCACATAGCCGAAAGTGTATCACAAGGATCTTTTTTTATCAAAATGATCAAATATAGAGTAAAATAGTTTATTTATTTTACAAGGAAAAAACACAAACACAACCCAAAAGTGATATCACATATCACAAACAAAATGACCAATTCTTTATTTATTTCCTTTTTGTTTATCAGGGGAAAACACAATTACATTGAATAAATTGCATATATATTTGAGTGAGCAAAATAAGGTTTTAAAATAACTTGTAGAATACATCTTTATCAATTTAAATTCACTTTAAATCACACAACACAAATGAATCACATTATTTACTAAATGAATATAGATTAGATGTATAATTCATGAACTAAAATAAATGTATATATATTATTCATTATATTTCATTAATCAAAACTCTTGAAATGCTAAGATTCATGAATTCTATTATCTTCAAAGTTCATGACTCTCATCTAATAGAATAATGGTATTTATTTAAAAAAAAAATAATTTGTGAAACACATTCCAACACGACTGCCTAATTTATTGAAGATAAACAAATATTTGAAATTAAGATTTAAGAGATGCTATTGCTATGTATGATCAAGAATTTCAGTAATTAAATTAGCTACTATTTTTATATTTAATTTTGTAAGTCATCTTGTACAGACTTATATTGAATATTCCAAGTCAATCAAATGTAATATGTCATTTTAGCATTTTAATTAGTTTTTTCCTCTTTAAACACATTTCATTTCAAGTTGTTATAAATAAAAATATAGAAACCGTTGTATCTCAAAAGTCAAAAGCGTAGAGGAAATTAATTAAATTCTCAACACCAGAAATGGGAACTTGATTGCTACATATTCATACATGTTATATAAGGAGGTTACATGATGAAATCCAACTAAGTACATCGTACTCAATGCCAGGTAAGAGTCTTTTGATAAATAATAGAAAGTTCATCATATGAATCACTATCAAAATTTGTAGTCAATGCCATAGTTGCCGACAAATCAACTGCCTAAAACCTGCATCAAAATCAACACTAAACATATTTCCCTCTGTACTTCGGCTTTGGTTCTTTACTTAATCTGGAATCAGTGCTTGCAGTCAACTGTGCATCTGCCGGAGCAAAAACGGAAGAATGAAGATTACCATCTTCTAACCACTTTAAATGGTTCTCCCTAAATTCCAAATGTTTTATCCTAGCTGCCAAAGCATTTTCCTCTGAATATGGACCTATCTTCACCATGGTTAGTAAAATCCGACTATAACGTGAGCTTAGGATCTGTTCGGAAGAAGCAACCAATTTAAAACATGGGTGTTCTGGGAAACAGTCTTCCGTTGAATTATCTTCTCTTAGTACTGGGTAGAAGTACACAAGCCTGCCACCCATTACTAGCATCCTACCGGCCAGGTCAAGCAAATCATGAACGCACTCAGATAAGCAGTATGGAGCCGTCGATGGTATGTGGCCGACCCTCTTGTCATCAGGAACAGTATAAGGATCTACAGCCCCCTTTAGCAATTTCCGGCCACCTGATTTACGTCCACCAGCCCGAACTCCATAAGGTGGGTCACAAATTATGGCATTAAACACCTATACGACAGAAACATTATTTTTTAATGAAAGCACAAGATGCACAAACTGATGGTAATAAGCGATTATTGCAACTTATGAGTTCCAATGGTGATTAAATTTCCGAAAACTAAAATTCTGAAATGCCGCCATCAAGGTTTTTAGACAGAAATTCCATGCACTAATAGTTCAAAAGATAAATCCATGGTCTCCAATCTAGTAAGCTCTGGTTATTCAAAAATGATAAATTTGTACATGTCTAAAGAACATTGACAGCAACATGTTGCAATAAATTAGAATTGCATTGTATTCAACTCAATTTGCACCTCCTCTTACTCCAGCTCATTTGATTAATGCATTATACATTTACCCTTCTCAATCACTCGTGAAACAAAGAATCTTGGAAAACAAAAATTTAATGATTTGATGCTTTAAATCCAATAAAACTTTTATATATAACCAGAACCAAAAAAAGAAAAAAAAAAAAAGAAAAAAAGAAAACCTATTATAAATGCTTATGACTTTAATTTCCCAACTTTTGCATAGAATAAATAACACATAGTAGTACGAAGTAGTATTTTCTAGTGGTGCGATTACAGTTACAGTGTATAAAACAATTTTCAGACCCTCATGCAAGATGCTATCAAGTTTATTCTTAGTCACCACGTGCTATCAACAAAATAAACGAATAATAATTATTGGCAAAAACAAATCAATTCAAACTTGAGTAATAAAATCAATACAGAAACAGATATAGAAAAAAACACTTGTATTGTGCATAGCAGGAATAAGAAACTTTACAAGATGTACCTCTTTTAATCCAGGACGCCAGGGTGGAAGGTTATTATCTGCCCTTAACAAACCAACTGGCATTGGCAGTCCATACTGCAAAAAATCATAAACAAATGAGTAAAGTTATTATCTGCCCATAACAAACCAACAGGATCTGCAATCAATACTGCAGAAGTTCATCAACAGATGAGTGAAGTTATACAGTTCATTGCAGCTATTCTTTTATTTATTATTTTTAATTAAAACATTGCAGCTAAGTGGTAGAAACCTAGATTCCATTTAACTTGCCTCAAAATGGAATGAGCTAATATTATACAAGCAGTGAAAGCTAATAACCTCAATACTCGAGTTATTAATCACAACTTCATATAAAAGGATGGCTTTGATGGCGCAATGCATTGCTTGTTATACACTGTGGTCAGAAATATTTCAAAGGCAGGGCTACAAACACAACATTCAAATGAAGAAAAGAAAAAGAGTAACCACATAGCATAGTCACCTGCTTGAAATTGCTCCAAACATTACAATCAGGGCCACGCCCATCACGAACCACTCTAATGTCAATATCTGCACCCTGAATAATTTACATCAGGTACTGGAGTAAATATAATAAGCTACAGAAAACAAACAGTTCATACAACTTCCAAAGGGAGAAGTACCAAGTGAAAAATAATTCAGAGTAAATAACAGAGCATTCAATGCAAACCATTGTCATTGCACCAAAGTGTGCTGCAGCAACAAGAATACTCCCAGTGCCAACAAAAGGATCATAAACAAGTTTCCCAGGTTCGACGAGAGCTTGGTTGGCCATTAAGAAAGCCATTTCTGCATCCATTGCTGTGGGACCAAGATAAGTGCGACTTTTTAACTGATATGTGGGTAAAAGCTTCCTATCAGCAGCACCAACTTCTCGACCAAAAAAGATTCTCCTTTGGACTACTGGTGGAAGCCCATTATTAACTCCATAGTCATCAGTTTCTATGAGCCAGAACTTATGCTCTGGATTTTTTAAATTAACCCGGCCCTGCAATATTAATTAGTCATAACATCAGGGATGATAAACAACCACTGGAAATCATCTACCCTGTAAATTAGGGTGTCAAATTATAATCCCTCCACCCAATAAACTGTCTCAAAGTTTCACTTTCACAAGCTTTAAGGAAGTACTTTAAAAAACTTGAATTTCCAAATCTAACTCTCTTGTAATGTTGTGAATAAAGGAAAGCGAAACAACTAAGATAAGGATAGCTTTGAAACTCAATGGGCAAGATGTTGATAACTTTAAAATTGGAGAAAAAATAAATGTCAAATTTGAATAAAGAATTTTTATTTTTTATTTTAAATAATTAATAAAGAAAATTAAACAAAAACATTGGGATGGAATAAATATCACAAGACTAAGAAGTACATGAATAGGCCTGATATATCCTAAATGCATTTAACGTAAGGGAAACTTTTGCTGACCTGCCCCACTGTATGACATTAATACACTTAAAANAATTGTGAGAGTTTAGGGCCAATTTATAGGAAAAAAATGGGAAAAGAAAATGACGAAAAAGACCCCTCCAACGGCTATATTTCAAGGGTAAATGGGTAATTTGAAAAAAAAAAAATTTCAATTTTTTTTTATTTTTTTCGGCCAACCCGCCAGGTTGACAACAGCCAACCCGCGGGTTGACAACAACCAACCCGCGAGTTGTTTGTCCTTTCTTTAGAAAGGACAAACAGCAACCCGCGGGTTGGCGGGTTGCCATTTTACAACCCGACCCGCCCGGGGGTTGCTGCCGGGTTGGGTTCAACCCAACCCGTCTTATTGGCGGTTCGGATTCAACCCTCTTCATTGTGTGCTTGGTTAGGGTTAACCCGTCTAACCCGACCCATGTTCCACCTCTAGTCCCGACCACTGTTTTAAAATTTGGACTGGACTAGATCAGTAACCTCTTCGGATTGGTTTAGGTTCTAGGAGGGTATTTGCTATATTTCAAAATTATAGGGACTAACTTGTTAGGGCTTTTTTTATAAATTAAAATTTTAGGAACTAATTTACAATTTTTAGGGGTGTTTTTGTAATATACTATACTTTAAAAGACTAATTGAAATTTTAAAAATATTTTTGTTGCTGGCGTCACTGGTCCAACCGATTAGATCGGTCAACTCGTGACCAATCACTTTGTCGGGTCTTATAACAGTTCGGATTTTAAAACAATGGCCTCAACTTTGAGATTTGATCCGTAGTACTCTTGTCTAACAAAAATAAAACCAATATGATAGAAATTGGGCTTATAAAATAGCGCAAAATATAAGGAGAGTAGTGTTATTTAAGTTTCATTAAAACTCTTTCTAAACCATATTTTAAATAAAATTTAATAAGTAAAAAATTATTTAAAAAATACTCTATCTTCTTCATTTTTTATTTATGAGTGGCATTACATGTACAACTATTTCATACAACCCTGATGTGATAACTCGCGATTAGTCAGTTCATAGGTCCCGTTTGCCTAAATATAAATTGATTAATCGCGAACTACTACTTCATGATTGTATAGTTGTGAGTATAATTTTATTGTTTATTCATCTAATCTTCAATATGATTCTAAATGTTCATGAATGATATATACAAAGCATTGCTTAGATCAAAATAAAAGATCGTTATTGGATGGGGAAATAATGCAATATCGTTAATGAATAAATAAGATATGAGATTGAGATATTTGATTTGATTGCTTTTTTAAGGATTTAGAATTTGAGAATATAAAAAACTCAAAAGAGACAAATAAAAATAAAAATAAAAAAGGATAACATATTATCTTAGATTTTTTAGATTAATGATTTAATTGATTCATGGTAAAGTTTATTTACTTGTATCCAATTTTATTGGACACTATAATTTGAATCGAGGTAAGTGGTAAGAATTAATAAGAGAAGAAAGATAAGCCAATTTTGTAATATGATATTTGTATCATTTTATTTTAATTTTAGGCTTGGAAAGAAGTTTAATGGAGCTCCTCAATAACAACACTCAATATAAAATAATTTCTATAAAATAGAATTAAAAAATAGATTAATAGTAATAATAGGAAATTAAATCTAATAAGAATACTCAGAAGTGCTTAAAAACTTATAATCAAAATCCAAAATATAAATGTAAAAGTGTTGTTTTTAGGACACTTAAAACTTTTATGAGTTCATAAGTCGAACTATTAAAATAAAATCATATTAATAATAAGATTGAAAAAAAAAAAAAAAAAGACATCAACAATTTAAAGTGAAACAATTCTAAACACCTAAATCATTAGATTTGAATCATTATCAATCACTATATCATCATATAATTCAAATGCACATACCGAAAGTGTATCACAAGGATCTTTTTTATCAAAATGATAAATATAGAGTAAATAGATTACAAGGAAAAAACACAAACACAACCCAAAAGTGATATCACATATCACAAACAAAGACCAATTCTTTATTTCTTTTTGTTTATCAGGGGAAAACACATTACATTGAATATAATGCATATATTTGTGTGAGCAAATAAGGTTTTAAAAAACTTGTAGAAACACTTATCAATTAAAATCACTTTAAATCACACCAAAATGAATACATTATTTACTAAATGAATATAGATTAGATTATAATTATGAACTAAAATAAATGTATATATATTTATATTTATTCATTAATCAAAAATCTTGAAATGCAAGATTCATGAATTTATTATCTTCAAAGTTCATGACTCTCATCTAATAGAATAATGGTATTTATTTTAAAAAAAAAAAATTAATTTGTGAAACACATTCCAACACGACTCCTAATTTATGAAATAAACAAATATTTGATAATTAAGAGATGTATTGCTATGTATGATCAAGAATTTCAGTAATTAAATTAGCTACTATTTTTATATTTAATTTGTAAGTCATCTTGTACAGACTTATATTGAATATTCCAAGTCAATCAAATGTAATATGTATTTTAGCATTTAATTAGTTTTTCCTCTTTAAACACATTTCATTTCAAGTTGTTTAAATAAAAAATAGAAACCGTTGTATCTCAAAAGTCAAAAGCGTAGAGGAAATTAATTAAATCTCAACACCAGAAATGGGAACTTGATTGCACATATTTATACATGTATATAAGGAGGTACATGATGAAATCCAAATAAGTACATCGTACTCATGCCAGGTAAGAGTCTTTTGATAAATAATAGAAAGTTCATCATATGAATCACTATCAAAATTGTAGTCAATGCCATAGTTGCCGACAAATCAACTGCCTAAAACCTGCATCAAAATCAACACTAAACTATTTCCCTCTGTACTTCGGCTTGGGTCTTTACTTAATCTGGAATCGTGCTTGCAGTCAACTGTGCATCTGCCGGAGCAAAAACGGAAGAATGAAGATTACCATCTTCTAACCACTTTAAATGGTTCCCCTAAATTCCAAATGTTTTATCCTAGCTGCCAAAGCATTTTCCTCTGAATAGGACCTATCTTCACCATGGTTAGTAAAATCCGACTATAACGTGAGGTAGGATCTGTCGGAGAGAAGCAACCAATTTAAAACATGGGGTTCTGGGAAACAGTCTTCCGTTGAATTATCTTTCTTTAGTACTGGGTAGAAGTAACAAGCCTGCCACCCTTACTAGCATCCTAACGGCCAGGTCAAGCAAATCATGAACGCACTCAGATAAGCAGTATGGAGCCGTCGATGGTATGTGGCCGACCCTCTTGTCATCAGGAACAGTATAAGGATCTACAGCCCCTTTAGCAATTCCGGCCACTGATTTACGTCCCAGCCCGAACTCCATAAGTGGGCACAAATTATGGCATTAAACACCTATACGACAGAAACATTATTTTTTAATGAAAGCACAAGAGCACAAACTGATGGTAATAAGCGATTATTGCAACTTATGAGTTCCAATGGTGATTAATTTCCGAAAACTAAAATTCTGAAATGCCGCCATCAAGGTTTTAGACAGAAATTATGCACTAATAGTTCAAAAAAATCCATGGTCTCCAATCTAGTAAGCTCTGGTTTTCAAAAATGATAAATTTGTACATGTCTAAAAGACATTGACAGCAACATGTTGCAATAAATTAGAATTGCATTGTATTCAACTCAATTGCAACTCCTCTACCAGCTCATTTGATTAATGCATTATACATTTACCCTTCTCAACACTCGTGAAACAAAGAATCTTGGAAAACAAAAATTTAATGATTGATGCTTTAAATCCAAAACTTTATATATAACCAGAACCAAAAAAAAAAAAAAAAAAAAAAAAAACCTATTATAAATGCTATGACTTTAATTTCCCAAATTTTGCATAGAAAAATAACACATAGTAGTACGAAGTAGTATTTTCTAGTGGTGCGATTACAGTTACAGTGTATAAAAACATTTCAGACCCTCATGCAGATGCTATCAAGTTTATCTTAGTCACCAATGCTATCAACAAAATAAACGAATAATAATTATTGGCAAAAAAAAATCAATTCAAACTTGAGTAATAAAATCAATACAGAAACAGATAAGAAAAAAAACTTGTATTGTGCATAGCAGGAATAAGAAACTTTACAAGATGTACCTCTTTTAATCCAGGACGCCAGGGTGGAAGGTATTATCTGCCCTTAACAAACCAACTGGCATTGGCATCCATACTGCAAAAAATCATAAACAAATGAGTAAAGTTATTATCTGCCCATAACAAAAAACAGGATCTGCAATCAATAGCAGAAGTTCATCAACAGATGAGTGAAGTTATACAGTTCTTGCAGCTATTCTTTTATTTATTATTTTAATTAAAACATTGCAGCTAAGTGGTAGAAACCTAGATTCCATTTAACTTGCTCAAAATGGAATGAGCTAATATTATACAAGCAGTGAAAGCTAATAAACTCAATACTGAGTTATTAATCACAACTTCATATAAAAGGATGGCTTTGATGGCGAAGCATTGCTTGTTATACACTGTGGTCAGAAATATTTCAAAGGCAGGGCTACAAACACAACATTCAAATGAAGAAAAGAAAAAGAGTAACACAATAGCATGTCACCTGCTTGAAATTGCTCCAAACATTACAATCAGGGCCACGCCCATCACGAAACACTCTAATGTCAATATCTGCACCTAATAATTACATCAGGTACTGGAGTAAATTAATAAGCTACAGAAAACAACAGTTTACAAATTCCAAAGGGAGAAGTACCAAGTGAAAAATAATCAGAGTAATAACAAGCATTCAATGCAAACCATTGTCATTGCACCAAAGTGTGCTGCAGCAACAAGAATACTCCCAGTGCCAACAAGGATCATAAACAAGTTTCCCAGGTTCGACGAGAGCTTGGTTGGCCATTAAGAAAGCCATTTGCATCCATTGCTGTGGGACCAAGATAAGTGCGACTTTTTAATGATATGTGGGTAAAAGCTTCCTATCAGCAGCACCAACTTCTCGACCAAAAAAGATTCTCCTTTGGAATGGTGGAAGCCCATTATTAATCCATAGTCATCAGTTCTATGAGCCAGACATATGCTCTGGATTTTTAATAACCCGGCCTGCAATATTAATTAGTCATAACATCAGGGATGATAAACAACCACTGGAAATCATTACCCTGTAAATTAGGGTGTCAAATTATAATCCTCCCCCCAAAACTGTCTCAAAGTTTCACTTTCACAAGCTTTAAGGAAGTACTTTAAAAATCTGAATTCCAAATCTAACTCTCTTGTAATGTTGTAAAAAGGAAAGCGAAACAATAAGATAAGGATAGCTTTGAAACTCAATGGGCAAGATGTTGATAACTTTAAAATTGGAGAAAAATAAATGTCAAATTGAATAAAGAATTTTTTTTTTTTTAATAATTAATAAGAAATTAAACAAAAACATTGGGATGGAAAATATCACAAGACTAAGAAGTACATGAATAGGCCTGAATATCCTAAATGCATTTAACGTAAGGGAAACTTTTGCTGACCTGCCCCACTGTATGACATTATACAATTAAAACTTGGTAGTAGAAAAAAAAAAAAAAAAAAAAAAAAAAAAAAAAAAAAAAGAAAAAAGTTATGAAGCTCTCCAGCCAATACTACCATTATTTAGGATTATATCCCGGCTAAAATAGCCTACTTAAATTCCAAAAGTGCCTCAATTATTTGCAAAAGATAAATTATAAACAATACTTCATACAAAATGACATAATTTTAGATAAATCCTTAAAAAACCATTTTCTGGCATTGCAATAGAGCTACAAGTTCTATCAAACTCCACAATAGATTAAAACTACATGTTTTATCAAACTTCATAATAAATTAAAACTATGTGTCACTGACATAAAGACGGATATAACAATCTGGAGCAGATTATGAGAATCCACTCCTACTCTAATTATGGTGGTAATTGATCTGCAGTAACCAAACATACCATTGAAAGTTAAGACCATAACAGCATTAAGGTCCAAGTGGCAATACAGATTCTCATAAAAAATAACCCATCAGCAAGACAACAAAATCAAATGACGGCCAGAGCGCACCTAGAGAAATGAAGATAATATCATCAGCTTAGAGCCAAATTATTAGCCTTGACCGTTATTTAAGGTAAGTTTTAAAATGAGGGGATTAACAAATTCAGTTTTTGATGATGACTAAAACATAAGCATTTATTCTTTATTTTTTTTCCTTAATTATTATTAGAAGTATCAAGGGGTTGTAGCGTATAAGGCAAGAATATCATTAAACCAACTCTGACATAGGATACCAATGACTAAGAGGAATGGAGAAGCATGCCTCTGTAGTACTAAATCCATTTTTATTCATTTATTTTTTTTATGGGAAATGAAATTGTATTGTGAGAGAATATGTTTACAAAACATGGACAGGTAGTCAACCAGTATATATAGGCCTATATCATCCCTGTATTGTGTGTGTACTAAGAATTCTATTTAGCTGGCTGAAATTAGATATAGCCTGGAAGGCGCATGCCAGTATTTATCATCCAAAACCCTCAACATGCAATAAAATTTCTACTCACGTGTTTATGTTTTATTAGTTGATAGTAGATAGAGGGCCAAATGGTCAGAATCTATACTGGCCATGAAAATGAAACAGCATTTCCAGTATTTCTGTGTTCACAAATTTAACACTGAATATCATAGGAAAAGAATACAGTATTGCTAAAGGCATACAAAGGAAACAAGAAGAGAAAAAGGGAACAAGTTGTAACATCAGTAACTCATAGGAAACAAATCTAATCCAAATTTAAAATCAACCTAATCCGAAGTCTATGACAAAAAATTTAATAACACAGCTTATCTAAAAACTCCAATGTGAAACTACTAATATAAGAAGAATTGCACCTTGAAAGGAATGTAAGAAAGTCCCTTAATCCGATCATTTTGTTCCTGGAAGCTGATGACCTTCCCAAAGCTATCAACAGTAATCTTGAACGTGCTTTCAGGGCTCAAATATGGCAACTTCCGCTCTTCTGGATAATTTCTTATAGCCTCCTCCAATTCTTCATAGCTGCTCCCTTCTCCCCAAAGTTCATAGATTCCCTTAACAAGTATACCTATAATTGCATTTGCAAAGTAACAATAAGCTCAACAGCATTACAAAAAATTCTAAATTGATGAGAAGTGAGAAAATCAATCAGTTATTCTAGAGAGATTAAATGATACTTATTATTTGTGCCTTGATAGGAACCCATCCCAACAACTCAAACAATTTGGCTGGGACATGGGTCTTTCATGGGCTTGGGTAGAACTCTCCTTGGAAAGCTGGCTTGCCAAGGGAGTGTGCCCAAGCCTTTATAACCCACATGCCCACCATTTTCCCTTTCAATGTGGGATCCTAACATTCCACCACGCTTCTGCAATTGACGTCCACGTCTGCCTCTTTACGCTTTGAGTGACTATGCAGATCCCCTTTCTCTTAGGCCTCCATGTCCTTTCTCAGGGTAGCAGCCCGAGCCCAAGGTCAACCTGCCAAGCGTGCGCTGCCATGTAGGCGCAATGCTCTAATACCAATTGATAGGATCCCACCCCAACAACTCAAACAATTTGGCTGGGCCATGGGTCTTTCATGGGTTTGGATAGAACTCTTCTTGGAAAACCGGCTTGCCAAGGGAGGGTGTCCAAACAATTTCCTCACATTTTATATCGTATAAAAAAATATGTGATTCACAATTTTCTCAGCAATTACTCTCGTACTTTATCTCATTTTCTCACATTTTCTGTTTGTCCAAACAATCCCAATCATATGAAACTAAGATCATCCATTGGCTTTAAAGTGGTTAAATGATACTTATAAATAGCCCATAATGGAAGAATTAAAAACATTATGTGTGATTACAATTTTTCTTAGCAATTACTTTGTATTTCCTCTCATTGTCTCACACTTTCTCCACGTCCAAACAATTCTAATCAGGGGAACTAAGAATTTGTGATTACATAGTGATATACTCTATAAATATCTGAGACGAAAAGTATAAAACATAATGTGTTAGTACAAATTTCTTAGCAATACTTTCACAATCTCTATCATTTTTCTCAGACTTTCTCCCCATCCAAACAATTCTAATCAGATGAGTAAAGAATTAGTGATTACATAGTGATATACTCTGTAAATATCCCAGCAGAAACATATAAAAAAATCATGTCTAAATACAATTTTCTTAGCAACACTTTCGCATTTTCCATCATTTTCTCACACTTCTCACTGCCCAAACAATTCTAATAAGATGAGTAAAGAACTTGTGATTACACAGTGATCCACTCTATTAATATCCAAGATGAAAAATATAAAACCTTATGTGTAAACTTTCACATTTTCTCTCTTTTTCTCATACTTTCTCACTGTCCAAACAAGTCTAACAATATGAGTTAAGAATTTGTGATTACATAGTGGTACACTATAAATATCCAAGACAAAAAAATACAAAACATTATGTGTAACTAAAATTTTCTTAGCATTCAAATTTTCTCTATTTTTCGTACTTTCTCACTGTCCAAACAAGTCTAATAAGATAAAATGAGACTTACTTCGATTGGCAACGCTACGGGCGACATCTTCAGAGGGAAGATTGACGAAATGAAAGGGAGAGTCAGGGTGGTGATGTTTGGGAATTTTCCACTCTAATGCAAAATTACTGTAGGAGTTTTCTTCACCAAAAAGCTGAGCTAGAGATTCAATTTCTGGCCTTCTGTAGTCCAACAATCTGTGGTAGAACACGCACAAATACCACATCTTTACTTTACACCTTTGCTTTTCCCTCTTTTCTTCCTGCTTTCTTCAAAGACAGATTCAAATTGTCCCCGGTGAAGTCACAAAACCCTAAACCCCTGAGCTGCTGATTTGCTATTAACGACAGCGTCTTCTTCTAATTTTTTTTTTTTTTTTTTTTTTGTGTTATTTGTTCTGATCTCCCTGATGTTCAGTGTAATTTAAAAGCTCCCTATAGTTTGCGAATTATTCATTATTTGTCAATCTCTTTAAGGGCGTAAAAGGTAAAAACGAGTTGGTGTGTCATAGGGGTGTGAGGAAAAAAAATCCAAAAACCGAATCGAATCGAAACCGAATAAAAAATTAGGTTTTTTTACAAACCAGTTCGGTTTTCGGTTTACAAAATGTAAAAAACTGAAAAACCGATTCGGTTTTCGGTTTGGAGAAATATCACAAACCGGTTAACCGAACTGGTTTTTCAAACCGGTTATACACTTATACCCTAAGTAAGTATATAAGCAAACCCTGATTTTTTTCAATATTCTCTAATCTCTACTTCTCTTCTCTGCCTCCAAGCTCTAATCTTTTGCACAGTACACACTACACACTCCAGCAATCCTCCACATGGCAGACTCCACTCCACTACATTCCATCTTCAAGTCTCCACACGACAGCACCCAGCAGCTCCACCCACAGTGAGTTGATAGTCCAGCAGCAACAACTACAGCACCATTTAGCATCATTCAGCATCCATTTCTTGTTTCGCCGACAGTCCAGCGGCAGCACCATTCAACATCCATTTCTTGTTTCACCGATAGTCCAGCAACAGCACCATTAAGCATCCATTCGCGTCTCACCGACAGTCTAGCAGTAGCATCATTTCGCGTTTCGCCGACAGTCCAGCAGCACCATTCATCATCCATTTCGCTGACAGTCCAGCAGCATCCTCAACCTCAAGCTGCTTCCTTGCTCCACCACCAACATCTTCTAATTCAACAGCAGATCCAACTCCAATCAATAAATAAAATAAAAGAGAGGAGATCTGATTGGATGGCGGAGAGAGAAACCTCTGCTAATCCCAAAGTCACTGCTTGCTTCGCCGTCATCCGAGGAAACAAATTTTCGTTTTGTCTATTTGAGAAAATCTGGTTATGGCTTAGGTGTTGTTCAAGTTGGCGTACTTGGTTAAACGAAGAGGAAGAAAATCAGTTAAAAAACCGGTTAACTGGTAACCGAACCAAAAATTCGGTTCGATTTACATTCAGTTTTTAACCGAAACCGATCCGGTTTTCGGTTTTGATAATCCAGTTCGGTTAACCGAATTATCCCACCCCTAGTGTGTCATATCAAATAGTCATTAATTTGAACTTCACCTATTAAATTATTTATGTTTGGTACACTTTTTTTTAATAGCATTCTATTATAAATATGATTTAAACAAATACGATAAGATTCTGAGAATGTGTTTCATATATTTTTTAAAAACATTTTCTAAAAATATTTAAATTATTTTTTAACCCCTACATTTGTAAATTTAACTAAATACCTCATACAACAAAAGTTTATAAATTAACAAAAATACCCTCACCTACCCAACTAATTGTTGACAATCAACCACCACTACCGGACGGTGGCCGGAAGTCATCGGGATGGCGTACGACTGATAGGATCTGGTTGGTCTTGCATCGATCTAGCATTTTTCGGCTAGATCCACTATAGATCTGACCAAAAACAACCAGATCTACGGCTAAGATATGGCCGTTGTTTGATTAAAAAAACGTGTATATATGTATACCTATATATGTATGTATATAGGTATACATAGATGAATGTATGTATACATATCTATGTATATGTATGTATATAGGTATACATAGATGAATGTATATACATATCTATGTATACGTATGTATATAGGTATACATAGATGAATGTATATACATACTTCTATGTATAGACATATGTACATAAGTATACATACATAGGTATATACATAGGCATACATATATACCTATCTATGTCTATACAACTAACCTAATTGCTTTTATTTGGTTGGTCAATGATAAAAATAGAATTTTTTTTCTGTGAACCACCTTGTATCTAGAATGTGTTAGTGTATGCCCAAGGAACCAATTGTTTTGTTGGTTTCAAGACATTATATCTTGTAAATGTATTATGAATAAAAGAAAGTGTTCTTATTTCACATGTTGATTTACTGCTTCATTTATATTATATTTAATATTGCATGTGAAATGTCCAGATGACACGGATCTTTAGAAGATCAAATTATCGAAGAATTTCCTACACAAGTAATGTTAATTGGGCAATAACATTGCATAGTAGGCATGCTGAATGTCTCTATTGAATATCATGTGATGGTATGAGTGTGAGTGATTATAAGAGGCATGTCACTAAGGCATTAGCATGGACAAACGATTAGTGAACTGTTTATCAAATACGACCAATTACAATGAATCACATGGATGTGGTTAATGATGCATCGTAGGATCATGCTAGTGTACCACTGATCCTTAGACCTGAGACATTACGGTTGGATTCAACATATGATGCATATGGTTCATATGGTGTATAAGCACAAGCCTACTCATGTCTTATATAATAAGCCAATTTAGTCATATGTTATTCATGTGCGAGGACAAGTGATGGTCAAGATGAGATCCATTAACTCAAAATAGTCCAATCTTGAGTTCTTAGACGAATGTCAATAAACATTGAAAAATGAAATATCTGGCCAGAGTATAATGAATGTCAGATGAAAAGTAGTTTCATGTTGACGAGTTTCATTGTATTGATTAACAATTCGATTAAAGATTAAGTTAAGGGTTTTGACATACCATGAACCATTCTTAATCGGGATTAAATAACGGAGGGATTTTACTACATGATACGTACGATTAGAAAAGGTTCATTGAAGTTTACACTTCATTGTGGTTTAGGAGTTATGGAACATTGTTAGACGTCTACCATAATTAGTGGGAGTTTCGATTATAAAGAATAATAACGAAACATATTCGAAATCCGATATTGGGCCCATGGCTAGATCACAGTGAACCAAAATGGTCACACATAAAACCAAGCTCAAGGAGAAAGAGTAATATATATCATTAATCAGATTAATGATGTTCGGACGTAAATGATTGCATTCGAATTAATGTATTGCTGAGAAATGATTATCCATGGATAGCTAGCACTAACCAAGAGTAATAAGGATTTATTAAATATTATTATTGAATTGGATTTAATGATGAGGGCAAAAGTGCATTGGTTTTATTCTAAAGGGTTAGAATATTTAATGGAATGCAAAAGTGGCACCAATGGTACATGCTTGTGCTTGTTGTTTTTTTAGGATCTTCCATGTCTACATGATAAGACTTCAAAAAACTCACATGGAAGACTAGGTGGAAGTTAAGTCTTGAGGGTAGCCCCAACTGATAAGCGACATTTGCAATCCTCTTTACAATGGGAAATAGGCCCTCATACTTCTACAACAGTCCCTTATGAAGTGAGCGTTTGAATTTGCGTTGACCGACCAAAATCTTCACAAATGCCATGTCCCCCACAAAAAACTCAACATGTCTTCGTTTACTTTCCAACAAATTTTTACACATTTCTATTGGCAACAGCCATATACTACTTTATAATAGCTAAGACAAACAGCTCTTAACTTTTAAGGTTGTTACTTTCATCTCAATATCTCTATCATTTGTTTCATTTTTATCCATTATAGTTGGACGGTCGTTTGGTAACATCATTTTGATTGCGTGGGCTTTTCTTGACTACTTTTGTTGCCTATAAACATTTCAACTTAACAATATATAAAGAAGTCTATGATTGGATTGTCCAGAAGATTAAGGAAATCGACTATTTATCTCCTGAAGTTAAGGATACTTATGAATGGATTCTCCATAATATTAAGGGCACTTGTAGTTGGCTTTACTAGAAGGTCTATCATATACCTATGTATATAAACCTACATATACAAAGATATATTTATGCATACTATGTACATAGGTATACAATGTCATAGATAAAATATGTATGGGTAATGTATAGGTATATATAGATGAAATATGTATAGGTTTCATACCTATGTATACATAGGTATGAGTATAGGTATACATTCCTATACATACCTATGTATACCTATAGATGAAACATGTATAGATGAAATATGTGAAGTGGAATTGTTCTTCAGGAAATTGAAGGAAGATGAGCACCGATTTGTATTGACCTACTTCAGAAACTATTTTTTCTTCCTTTTTCATGCAATCACTTTCTTTTTTGAAAGTATCGGGCTCCACTCCAGCCCTAATGACTTCGCTTTTTCTATTAAACCTAATTTTTTTAATGCTGTAATAGGGTAGGTAAGCATTTAGGTCTAGAAAGATGTGATCGTAGAATTTTGATAAATTAAGTTCACATTCAAACCCTAGAGCTGACACTTGATCAAAATCAATCTCCTTTGTACTAAAACTACTATCTTTAAAGAGAAACTTTGAAACCATTGTGTATTAACCTAGCTTAGAGGCAATCATTCACAAAACCTTTTATCAAACATCTTTGGATGAAATCATGTAAGTCTACAGGCAAAATCCTGTGAAAACTATTGTATTGGCAAAATCTGATTCTAGTGAAACTTCAAGGAGGTTGCCTTGAGGAAGTGGATGTAAGGAGGCTCGAGATCAAAGCTCCGCACAATTATAAAATCTTTGAGCATTTCTTTTCTCTATCTCTCATTTATTATTTGTTATTAATGATTCATTTATTGCTCATCATTGAAGTTAATTATTGTTCAGATCTTTGGGTAGTTGGAGGTTTTTATTATTCTGCATTGAATTTTTTACAAATACTCATTATCATGACTCCTGAAAGGACAGTGTTATTTAGATTAGTTGATTTGTATCAAAAAAAAATTTGGGAAGGTAGATTTACAAATTTATCCTTTAGTAAAATAAAATTATTTTTGGCTCCTAAACCCTGCCTTTTGGAGGGAAAACAATTCACTCAGTTAAAAATAGAAGGATGAGAGAAAAGTAATGATTATTTCAATATTTCCAAGAATAGAAGTTAGAAAGTAGGAAAGTAGGAATTAATTTATTGTAATAATTAAATTTCTTTAAAAAAACAGAACAAAACATGTAAAGGTACATTGTT